AGGACCCAAGGGTACCCCCAATATATAGTATATGAGGACCCAAGGGTACCCCCAATATATAGTATATGAGGACTCAAGGGTACCCTCAATATATAGTATATGATGACCCAAAGGTACCCCCAATATATAGTATATGAGGATCCAAGGGTACCCCCAATATATAGTATTTAAGGACACAAGGGTCGCTCCAATATATAGTATATTAGGACCCAAGGGTACCCTCAATATATAGTATATGATGACCCAAGGGTACCCCCAATATATAGTATATGAGGACCCAAGGGTACCCCCAATATATAGTATATAAGGACCCAAGGGTACCCCAAATATATAGTAGTTAATGACCCAAAGGTACCCCCATTATATGGTCGATGATTACCTATCGATGGGCCCGTTTCACAGTGCATGAAGAGTTATGGGTACTTTCATAAATGTTTATTGACTTTTATGAATTTTTAAGAAAAATTTTGTTTTATAGTTAAACATCTACTTTAACTTTAAATTTTTTAAAGTTAAAGTTTAAAGTATGGGAACTTTAACTTTAAAAGTTAAAGTTAAAAGTATTACTTTAAACTTTAACGTTTAAAGTTTAAAGTAGTACTTTAAACTTTAAACGTTAAAGTTTAAAGTAGTACTTTTAACTTTAAACTTTTACTTTTAAAGTTTAAAGTGCCACTTTAACTTTAACTTTTAAAGAAAAGTTAAAGTGCCACCCCTAATCAGAACCATATTGAACAATATCAGAATTTTATTTTCAACGTTTTCCTTCATCTAGATAATTATGTAAAGATAATAAACCAGTTAATACTTCCATACTATCGACAACGTTATCTAAAAGAACAAAACATATATATATAAAATAAATTCTATTAATAAAACTCTAAAGTTTTTTATTTGAACATATATATTTAGATTCAGCTTATTGAATTGATTATGAATATCACATTTTAAACTCGATTAGTGCGGATTTTCACGGAAAAAAAACTGAAAATCAATTCTAATAATATCTTTTATCGATTGGAAACATTTTGTTCGAGATTTTCTATTAGCAATTGACGCAAGAACTATCCAAGGTGATACCTCGCATCTAAGATGAAACGCCAGTAGGGAGCAGCGGGTTCAGATCGAATCTTTTATTTTTTATTGGGTCCGCAGCACTTCAGATAAGAAATTTCAGCAACAAGATACAACTCAACGTTGAGTTTGTTTTTTGAGAGTAGCAAATAAATAGATAAAAACTTGATCCTTCACTTGCTCATGTATATGGAGAGCGCCAGATACACAGTGAGCAACTTTCATGAAGCAGGCGGACATGTCATTTTTGTACTCTAAAACGGGTTGCCGTTACTCAGAAGCGTTTGTATGTTACTCGGAAAATCGAATTTACGGAAACAAAGCATTTTTTGAAAGAAAAATTTTTCGGGATAAAACACCTGAGGGTAGTCCTTGCCCAGACTTTCGAAAAATTTTTTGAGAGAAAATGTCTTGTGTCATACATCATACGATACAGTTTTGCTCGATGATTCCGAATATGACAATCATTTTGCGCCACAATACCGTTGGAATCAAGGGGGAAACAGCAGAGACTTCAGCCGTGAAGTCTCATGAAGTCTTGAAAGTCTTTCGGAAGTCTTTTGAAGTCTTATGAATTCTGATGAATTCTCATAAAGTCTCTTGAAGTCTCTGAAGTCTTATAAAGTCTTATGAAGTCTCATGAAGTCTCACGAAGTCTAATGAAGTCTGTTTAAGTCTTATGAAGTCTCATGAAGTCTAATGAAGTCACCTGAAGTCTCATGAAGTCTCATGAAGTCTAATGAAGTCTCATGAAGTCTCATGAAGTCTAATGAAGTCTCATGAATTCTTCTGGAAGTTTTGAAATACAATTAGTGCATGAAAATTCATAAGAAACCAATGAAACTGTCTTGTTTTGGATGGTCTTATTTTAGCAGAAAGGTGAACCCTTTATTGTTTTTTTAATGTGCTGGAAAAAAATTCAAGTTTGTTTGATCTTAGAAAACATGATAGTTAATAACTGAATGCTTTTTGAATGAAGTGATTTATTTTTATAAGAAATGTTCCATCTATTCAATGCCATTCTTATGAAGAATTTTATTCCTTTTTGTTTGTTTCTATCACTCGTGATAATCTATCAGCCGATAAACGGCTAGCTTTGCCGGTCAATAACCAACAAGCCGTTTGCTTGTGTATAAATTTAGTCTTGTTATTTTTTGCACCTGAAAATAGGAGTTTTTCAATGCTGGATTAATCGAATCAAATATGCGCGTACCAGTAAAGTTTATTTTCTCAGTTTTAATTTCATCAACGCTTTGTGTCATTGCTACATCTTTATCCTAGATATAGATATACTGCGAGAAACAATTCTCAGAAATAAGAAACACCTTTATAATGTCTATATGATAAGTTTTGTTTTTTGCATATTATAGAAGTTTCATATAATTTTTATAAGGTTCTTTGATATGCATAGAATCTGCCTCTTGAAGTCTTGTGAAGTCCTACGAAGTTTTGTGAAGTTTAGCAAAGTCTTGTGAAGTTTTATGAAGTCTTGTGAAGTCTTATGAAGTTTTGTGAAGTTTGGCGAAGTCTTGTGAAGTCTTATGAATTCTTGCGAAGTCTTATGAAGTCTTGTAAAGTTTTGTGAAGTCTGGCGAAGTCTTGTGAAGTTTTATGAAGTCTTGTGAAGTCTTATAAAGTCTCAAGAAGTCCTACAAAGTCTGTGAAGTCTCACAAAATCCGTGAAGTCTCATGAAGTTCGTGAAGTCTCACGAAGTCTGTGAAGTCTCACGAAGTCTTTTGAAGTCCTCTGAAGTCCCATGAAATCCTATGAAGTCTTATGAAGTCTTGTGAAGTCCTTTGAAGTCTTATGAAGTCTTTAGAAGTCTCCAGAAGTCTTTAGAAGTCTTGTGAAAATATGAAGTCACTGTGGTTGAAGTCCCTAGAAGTCTTTTGAAGTCTTGAAGTCTTGAAGTCCGCTGTTTCCCCCTTGGGCGGAATAGAGAAAGTAGGGATTCAGGAGCAGAAGCTTGGATTTCTGGAAAACTTCTAGCACAACCTGGACCCATAAGCGCGAGGTGACGCTAAGCCCAACAATATATCACATGTAGAAGAATAATCAGTAAAGTTTTCAGATCAATCTGGCTTAAGTTCTTTATAAGGTTCGCAAAATTTGGGATGACCAATTTTTGGAGTGATATCCAGCAAAAGACCGACATTTTTTTTCGAAAAATGCTTGGTGTTATATATGATTCGATGAAGTTCGACAAACTGAATCCGAATATCACTTTGGTTTTGCACCACAATTCTGCTATAATTAGAAAAAGAGAAATTTAGTGGCAAAAATCTGGATTTTTGGAAGACCTCTAGCACAGCCTGTATTCATTGGCACGGGATTGCGCTATGCCTAACGATAGATCACATGTAGAAGAATAATTGGTAAAAGTTTGAGGTCAATTGGACTTAAACTCTTTGTAGGGTTTGTAAAATACGAAATGACCAATTTTCGGACCAACTTTTAGCCCGATAATCCAGTTTTTTCTTTTTCAATTTGAGTCCAATCAAAATCATTTCTTTATCACAATGAACTCAATAGAGCAATCATTCGTTTTGGATAGTTTTTCTTTTTAAATATTTCCGTTAAGCTGGTCGAAGAATTAACTTTGTGTAGAGATAGCGATTTATGAGTAATTTTATAAAAATAAAGTTTTCCAGAGTTCTCCTTAATTTCTGGAAGTTTTATTTCAAGGCAAGATAGACTAATCTTAGATGTATTTATTCTAATATTTAAACTTTGGAAAAGAATAGTTTCGTTCATGTCCGCCTGATTGCCCACTGTGCCATGGCCAAAAGCCTTGATAGTTTTACAGTAAGTAGGATAGAGCCTAAGGAGTCTTTCAAAAAAAAAATTATTAAAATTGGTTGAGTAGAAGTTGAGATATAAGCGTTTTCGTGTTGGAAACACAATCGTACAATGGCAGCGCAAGTCACTGACATATATGAGAAGAAAAGATTGGGGACAAGCATTAACAACAAAAATATTCCTCAACGTAAAGGTTGGCTTATTAAAAACAAATTAGGTAGATTTTGATTCGTAATTTCAACTATATATTTGATAGAATGTGATAAATACTTCCGTTTTTTTTGTTTAGATAATCATGTCAGATGAAATTGATGATTTATCATTTCCAAATGAAGTTATTACTCGATTGATGAATCAAGCTGCTTTAATTTTAAATTCAATTTCTAATTTAATCTTCCCTTTCTTTTAGTTATTTTTAGTTAGATAGTTCAACAACTATTTCAAAACAAGCTCGAGCAGCTATGTCACGTTCTGCATTAACATTTATATTATACATTAGTACGACCTATGTTTTTATTTTAATATTAATAATAAAATACTTTCTTCTTTCGAAAGTGCTAATCAATATCCTACAAATCCTAAACGTAAAACAGTGACAGTTCAACATATATTTAAACCATTAGAAACAAATCAATTTTATATGGTTATTCAACCATTACAACAAGCATTAAAAGGTTTATTAGGAATAAATAGATAAATAAGTTCGAAAAAAGACAATGAAACAACAAAATCAATCAGAATCAACTGCTGAAAATAATGATGAAGAAGATAATAATCAACTTGAAGGTGAATAAAAAAAAAAAATTTTGTCAGGTAATCATCTATTAAATTTATTTTTTCTTTATGTCATATATATAATATATATATATAAATGAAAACAACTTTATCTATATTCTTATTTCAGATGTTATTCAATAATTGATAAATTCAAACATATATTCAATTAACATCAATAGATAAACTTCTTTACCTTACAGGAAAACAAAATCAATAGATTTTTTATTTCTTTTCTTTGTCTTGTGCGACAAAGAAGACGTGTAGTGTAGTATTCTTTTTATCATAAGAAAACTAACCAATAATATCGATCGATATTATTCAATGAATATATCGGATGTCTAGTTTATTTTTGTTCTAAGACGCCTAGTTTTTCAGGTTACACTTAATTAGAATTATTGAAAATTTTTCATGACAATATTAGATAAATTAACTTTGAATAAAATATAAAATTCGAATTAGTAGAACTTTTCTACGAACGTTATAGAAAAAGACATAAGATAAACATATCAGTGTTGATATAAAGAAAAGTTTTTTTTTAAACGAATTAAGTCATCTATGAAAAATTCCTTGATCTCGAACTTTTTCATCTAACTAATATCTTGATTAAATAAAATTCTTTCTTCCTAGTTAGATATTTCAAAGTGACAATAAACATCCATTCAAAAAAAAAACCAATATGTCAATTAATACTACATTACTGAATAAATAATTCTAGTTTTTCCTTGCTTTGGTATGGATATTAGTGAAACATTAGTTAAACTTGTTTATTTTAAACCAGTTTATTTAACACCAGATTAAATTCGAACGGAAGGTGAAATTTTAATGAATATTTCTCATTATTTAACATCAAATCGTGCTTATAGACAACGATGGTGTACGAGATGATGCACTTCAATTAAATAATATAGAATTAGCTGGTCGTCCTGAAAATCTTCATTTTATTCGTTTTCTAACATAAAAAATGTCGAATTTTATTGATTTATATGTTATCAGACATTTCCATAGTTTAACATTTGAAATATTTTGAATAGGTGGTGGTGATTAGAAATTTGAAAAAGATATTGTTGAACTATGTATCTTATAAATAACAAATATTTTCTTTTCGTCTTTTTCTTTTCTTCATTCTAGAAATAAAAAATAAGTTGCTGTAAATCTTATCAACTTTATACATTAATAAAAGGTTTAACTTATTTAAGTAAACTTAATCGAAAATAATCTTTCTATTATGAAGAACCACAAAATGATTCGAATAGAAATAAATATCCATTTATATTTTATAAAAAACGTCCATTTATTTTAGTTAATATTGATAGTGGTGTTACTATTTTACATCTTGATTCACGACCTTTAACTGATACAAGGTTAGTTATCAGAGAATAACTTTTTTAAATCACTTTTATTCAATATTTTATTTATTTATTTTTTGTATTATAGTATAGGTAAATCACTGTGAAATCTTTTATTTCAAATAACGTTTTCATAGGAGTTTCGATTTTCACTATTGAAAACAAATTCTATGTATTATTCAATCATAGAGATTGTTCACCTAATAAACAGTCAGTGATCTTTATCAAGATTTTTATAATTATCATAGAAGTTCAATTTAACGAAGCGACTTCGATTCGTCTACTCACCATTTTTTACCGAAGATCACTGACTGATCAGCTAGCTGTTTATCTTAATCCTATGAAAAGTTATTCGAAATAAACGATTGTCCGGTAAGGTTTTATCCCATTCTATAGCTGTCTATAAGTATTCTGCAAGAGCCAATATTTCTAGATAGATTTATGATAAAAGAATAATCGTTATAAACAATTCCGAGTCGTTGGATATGAAATACACTATAAAATCTAGACGTTCGTCCTAATGAAAAAAAAGAGAGATGAAAATTGAATCATCATATAATAGATGGTGTTAATAGACTGATTTCATTTTCAACAGTTGAGTATACATAATTATTAGTTTTACTAATGTCTTCTATTCTACGTAATTCTAAACTGTTATTATCTATTATAAAATAAGTTGATCAATCTTAGGAAATAAATTTGTTTATAATCAATGTTAAACAAAGAAGATTTTTATTGAATTTATCAATATATGATTAATCAATTCGAACAAATTTAGATTTTCGAAATCTATTTTCATCTTATCTGAAATGATCGAAAACAATTCTTGAAAGTCTTCATTTCTAACATCAACTATATCTATCTAATTGATATTTTTATCATGAAAATAAACCTATAAAATCTCTTATCATTAAAACTATAGATTATAATCATTTAAGAATAAGGATTAACAAAATCTTGTTTCTTTTCTCATTCAGTTCAATTATTCAATAATCGTAAATCTAGTAGACTATATCGCATTATCTCTCTATCAGTCTATAGATGGTATTGAACATTTCTAGGATAATCACCATCAATCAGTGACTATCAATGTGATTATCTATCATCTTGTCTTATTGATCGAATAGTATACTAGGAACGGTGATTCGATTTATTTTAATGATATTTTTTCTCTAGATGTTGTTGATATTTTCTATAGTATGTCATAGTCGATATATTCCTATGTAACATTTATAATAGATTGATCAATTTCGATCAGTCTGATAAAAAAGAAATAATCGTAACCTGGTAAAGAAATTCTAATCGACATGAAAACAAAATCTTTGAATATTCTAATGTTGTGGTTATACTAATCACAAATTTGACATCTTATATCAATAAATTGAATAGGATTTATTTATTTTTCACATATTATTACATGAGTCACAACGAGTATGAATAAATGTTCCATGATGTATATAGAGAGATCCTATCTAGATAACCATTTTCGAGATTACTTCAAATACGTCAATATAGAAAAAGTTATTTTAAAAAATATTTTAATAAGTTCTCTAACGTTGACAAGTTGAGTAATATAATTGTTAAAGGTTATTATTAATAATAATATTTCGTTTTATGTTATTTTGAAAAATATCTTTAGCAATTCTAAAATAGACACTACACGAAATTCTAAAGCAGAGACACTTTTATTTCTAATATAATTATGTAAGTCAATCGTTGTCTTGAACTTGCTCTACCATATTCATCAATACCGGAATCACATAAACTATTCGAATTCTTCAACTGATTTAACTTTATATCTAAGATAAACAATGAATATATCAGTAAGATATTCTTTCGTTTTACCAATCAAGAAAATATAAAGATTTAATAAAGACCTAATAAAGATAATAAAATAATCTGCATTGTTTAGATAACGGTAAATAGCTTGTTATCATTAGATTTCTAAGATCACCTTTTATCCTTCTATGAATAAAAAAATCGAAATTATGCTCCTAGCGCACGTTTATATGCAGAATCACAGTGTAAACAATGACGTAGCTGCTCTTGTTAATCAGAATAAGATTGTTTTATTGAATATAATTTCAAAAACATTTTTTCATCATTCTCTTAGTTAATAGTTGATAAAAGCAATAATCAATTAGTTAACTAGACGGTATTATCATAGAGTATTTTATTCTATATAAAAAAAACATGTTACTTGAAGATAACCAGTTCGAATGAATATTTATGGATAAATAAACATGTCAACTATTCATATACATATATATCCTTGATCGACTTAGTTTTCGATTTATGGAGAGTTCGAAAGGCAGCTCGATGAAGGAAATTCATAGAGAGATGGTCAACATCTCATTTTGATCTATAAACAAATAAAATTTATTCAATAGATCTTAATTGAAGCAATTCTATTGAAGTCGTCGAACGCTGCTAGTGCTACCTATTAAGATTTATTTCAGCATATGTTTTCATCAGCTATTTCTTTTAGAGGTTATTATACAGTCGACGAAACTTTTTCCCTCTTCGCTCTTTTTCTTTGTTTAGTTTAGTCGGTCCAGACAGTTCTTTCACTTAAAAACTTTGTAAATAAATTGTGTCTCTCTTGGCTAATATAATTATTATCTGAAAATAAATTCTATAAATGTCTCTTTTATTTCTATAGAATTCTCTACTGTCATTTCAAAACAAAGTAATAGAATATTAAAATCGAGTCATCAATTGGCGACAAAATTCGATTATTTTCTTCGTTTCTATAATCATTTCTTATTCTGGGTCAGATTTAATCAATAGACAAAGGAAAAAACAAGGTATTGTCTACTATCAACCGAAACGAGTATTCGAAAATATTTCTCGATAAACTAGATTAATTATCGAAACGGATAGAAAAACACTGTGTAAAAAACAATCGAAATAAAATGAAATAATAAGAGGTTATATTCGAGGAACGTTACGTTCTTTAATCAATTCGATAAATTAGCGAAGAATTGAAATGAAGAAGATTTTTCATGAACCAATTCGAAAAAAGAAAAACAATGAGATAAATGAATATCGATATTGAAATAATATTGTTTTATTATTTTCTTCTAAAACAATCATATTAATAAAAATAGACCGAACGAATAATTGAATTTGAACGAAGATCGACTTTAGAATTCAAATTTCGCATCAACATTAGATTAATCCTTTGGCCAACCTTCGAACTTTTCGACATTTTTCTTTTTTATCTGAGATATTCAATATTCAAAACTTTCTATATTAACTAATCTCGTTAAGAACTTTCGTTACAGGAAGTTTCAAGTCGACATTCGATTTTTGTGTACTCAAAAAGTTCATAGACTTGAAAATCGGTCAGTGTGTCCGGCCGGCCATTTACACGAGAACTTTTCAAAGGAGAGTTTGATCGCGATGAAATTTTCTATACAGTTTTGTCTCAACAATATCTCGGTCGAAAGAAGAAGATGAGAAGAGTTGGCCGAGCTCTTCCTGATTTATTGCCAAAAATAGTCATTTTTTCCCTATGGCATCCTATAGGAAAATCGACCCATCCCCACTTTCGTAAAACACTTTCCCTATCATATTCAAATAAACCGTCAACTATTCGAAACCATTCGATAGAGAATTTCAAGAGCTACAAAATCGGATATAAAACATAAAGAAATAAGAAGGATAGCACACCTATTGCAAGGATAAATCAACGGAAATCGACTCTGTTTTTGTCTGAGCTCTATATTACGATCACAGAGATAATACTTCGAGGTTTTCGGGGATGGAGAACTCAAATCTGTAATCCACTTGACTGGAAACCACATTGATTAAGCACTAACCAATAGAAATGAAGTTATAGGAAAAACGACTTTATGAGGATTAAATGTTTATAGAAAGGATTTGCCAGGGTTATCCTTATATTGAGACATTCGTCGGATGAACGATTTGTTTGATTGACTTATTGTAGTAGACATAAATTTCGGATTTAAATCCGAGGTTTTCACATTTATTATGTTCTATCCTAGGTCTTGCCGAAGAGGATCAGTTAGTGAAAATGTCCTATAGAATGTAAGAGAGTTATTTGAAATGAGTTAATCGTATGATAAACCATTTCTATGATGTTTCTTCTTGATCTGATTGTTAAAGAGCACCACCAAATAGATGATTATGTTCCTAAAAATAAACAAATAAATATTTAAAGAAAAAGAAAAAAAAATTGTTGTTATTGCCTTAATACCACGTAAATTTCTTTCTATTTGTTGATAATCATGATAAATAACGTTTCCATTCAAGATCAATTGATTTATTATCAGCTCTTGAAAAATAATTCAATTATTAGTTTTTTAAAATAATAACTCAAATTAAGTTTGGTTACCGAAATAAATCTCTTACTTATTGTTCGATTTCATCTCGATCGTTCAGTTTTCTGTCGATCTAGTTTAGAAAAAAGTCGTTTTCGTATATTTTGTTAATGGTGGTCTTACTAAAATAATTAAATAAATAATAAGAAAAAAAAAGTGTTTATTGATTTAAATAAAGATATAGATCGATGTTTTCATTGAAATTTTATTTCTTTATCTTTTCCATGATCAGATATTATTCTTCGATTTTTATTTGGTTGTTTGATTGTTTCATAATGATGATCATCAGTTGAACTAAGATAATAGGATAATTGAGAAAGAATAATCTAAACATTTGATATTAATTTAAAAAAACAAAACAAAAAATGTTTGTGTTATTTGATCTGAATATTTGTTTAAAAAAAGTATTATCAAATGTTCAGACGAGCACATTGCATATTCACTTTTAGAAAAATAAAAGATATTTTTTAAAAAAATTTCTTCAATTGAAAAAGAAAAGATTAGTGGTGGCATTCGAAGAATAACTTCCTGTTGAAATTGATATTCAATGTAATGTATATCTAACAGATTGGTAATCGATATAAATCGATTAATTGTTAAGATCCGATTTGTAAGATAAAGATTTGTTTTTATTTGTTTATTAAATTCTTCGAAATCAATTGGTTGATTAAAAAATCTAGGATAATCTTATCTTGAATTTGATTCAATATAATAACCAACGATTTATTTTAAACGAATTGTTCGACATTTAAACTTTTGCT